ATTGTTATGTAATAAATTTACACTAAATAACAACCAACTGGCCTCAGATAAATGAGTTTAGTTGACGAGATGCCCGTCGCACAGACCAAATATGTAAGATTCGTTGTGTTACAAGATATTTCATAACTGTTTTGATTAAAAGTAAAACTTTTCCTTTCTTAAACCTCTTATTGTCAAATATTTGAAGGCTTTAACTGTGTTGAAGACTATGGTGACGTTATTTACGTCACATCTTATTAATTATGACGTCATATGGCATTTTCGTTACAGGATTGCGAATTTCCCCTGCATTAACGTTATAGTAGTTGTTGAATATTTTGATTTAGCCACTAACAGGTCTGTCGGCTCAAATCCTGTATCCTGTCATAGGCGATATATTAGAACAACTTAGCAAAGGAAAGTTCAACGTTATGACATGTTCAAATGATTTCTATATCCGAACGTCGCTATACAGATTCAGGAGAAAGCATAGGCTTGCAGTATCCCGCTGCATTTTGTAAGAGGTGACTAACTTGGAGCCCCCTCTGGATTCGGGAGTTTTCGTCATTGCCTTCAGTTTAATAGACACCGCAGGAGCCAAAATCATTCTGCAACCCCCATCAAAACACTCATTACTGTTACTTGTGAATGCATGATATACAACCACCTCATAATCCGCAGGTATCTGCTTGATTCGAGTACAGGATAAATATGACAGGAAATGGTTCTGGATATGCCTATCTAATACATGTCATTAGGTAGTTAAGCACGACGCGGACGGCATAAAGGAAAATTTTCTCTTGAAATACACATGTCAAGAATGAGTATGTTACATCTTAGAGGTTCATGAAAACATATAACAGCTGAGCTTAAGGCACTGGAAATTAATTAGATAAACATGTTTTAATTTAAATGATTTTGTATTATTCAGGTAATTACCAGTAGTGAGATTTGAAAATTGTTTGTCACATTGCTTTATCATAGAACATTGTATTTAAAGTTAGTGAATGATATATTCTTCAGTTTAAATAATTTTGAATGGGTTAACTTTAAAGATCAAATTTCGAGATCTACCCAGTGGTTATTGTCGTTAAAAATGTACTTATCATATATATCGAGTTATGATATGAACATGAAATACGGATAACCTGTGCAATTCCACTGATGTGCTTGCGACGCTGTACAAGTTAGTGTACCACAGTTCGATGCTGTCAAATGATAGAACCAAATATATACATATATGTATATGCGTAATGCATACTCGATGTTATGACATAATAAAATATGCGATGATTGTTTAGGTTTATTAAACTCTAGAACTCTAAATCTGCTTATCAAAACCACAATCATGAAGCATTAGACAGATGGTTCGTCCTTCTAGACTAAGGGAGACAAAAGGATGGCTATATCAAATTAAGTCTAGCGTACTTCTGAAGCAGACTACTGTGTGTAAGATGTTTAAAACTCCTTTATGTTTTGAATTACGACACTGGAAGGTCACTAGTTAATATTACATCAATAATGAAACAAATAATTTCTGATGAAATGCAACTGTTCTAGAGACTAATTTGCCAATCATGTATTTGATAAATATTGATATAATCATATGGGAGTTTTAAATATAAACTTATTAAAGTTATTTTACAACAGTTGTGAAACAAATTATTTCAATTTGTTTTAATCACACTTGTTTACCGGAATGGAAGCGCGCGTGATGTCCTAATGAGGGAGGGAACCTCAGTACCCGGAGAGAGCCTTTTAACGTCATGTCAGGGAGACGAACCCCGGCATATATTTGATCAACATTAATATAATCATATGTGATTTTTAATGATTTACATATAAACTTGAAGCTATTTTACAACAGTTGTGAAACAAATTATTTCAACTTGTTTTAATCACTCTTGTTTGCCGGGATGGATGCGCGCGTTTTGTCCTAATGAGGAAGGAAACCGGAGTATCTGGAGAAAGCCAGGTGGTAAGACCACATACCTTTTAACGTCATGTCAGGAAGACGAACCCGGTCGCCTTGGGGTAAAGAGATTGGGTTATCCACTGCGCCACCCGACCGCCCCATAATTTACAACAGTGTAGTATTGACATACTTTTTATGATATTCCCCATAGTATCAGTGGTTATATGAAACGACTAGGTATAATTTTCAGAAATAACATTTTATCATAACCGCACTTTACAAAAAAACGTCACTAAAATAAATCAATGAACTAAAGATCATCGAAAGTATGCGAATATTTTCTAAGGGAGTCCCACTTATTTCGATATTTTGTTCAATAACCACGAGTATATTCGAGCTTTTACTGGTTACGATTTATGCTAAAGCTTTCAATAACGTAAATCATACGAAGCTATACAGTTGCTAATAGGTTATTGGTAAAACAAGGCTCATTCCAAATCATTTCCATTGCAGACATTGAGGACACTCCGGTAGGGCTCAAAACAATTGCTTGACACAAAATGTGAACTCTTAGGTTTCTTCGAATCCTTTAGACACCTAGTCTATTTGGGGTCCATTATCAGAAAATATATAAAGCAGGCCATATACAAACCTCGCTGTTAATGTTCTGTCTGTATTAATACTAGTATCAGTTTTTACTTTCATGAATAAAGAAAATAATCACTGATACTTTCCATATTGGCATATTTCGTCACTCTATTCAAATTACAAAGCTATTTTTGAACTTTTCCTGTACAGAACTTAACTTCAAGAATGTGTCCAATAATGTGTTCAAAGTGCATTCGTAGGTTTGGGTCCAAGCAAGAGAAGATATCATAAAAAAGTGGTGTTACCACACAAAATATATTTTATTGTACAGCCTGGATACGATAAGATCATGCCGTATTCCAACGTTACATTCAACAAATGGGCTTACCATATTTGCATAAATATAGACCAGAACAGAAAAGAAACTATAGGAATCTAGGATGTTGCAGAGGACTTCATTATGTTAAATTTGATATTAAGTCGTTATGGTGCTTTCGTAAGCTTTCTGAAGCATCTTACTTTAGCCGTTTTAGACTACTAGGGTCAGACGAACTGGTTAACCATACTATGCTATCGTTTAGTCTTGTATATAAAGGGCATTTCTTTCAAAAAGTAGGATCAGAAAGCTTTATATGCTTTGTTTGAATACTACAAAATTATCATTTTAATACTTATGATGCAAAAAGTATAATTTCATTTGATTAATGGTTTAAATTAAAGTTGTTGAGGTGTAAGTGTCTGAGATAACGCCGTACTACAAGCGATGGTTGTACTACTTGTACAAAAATATTATTATTCCTTGATGTACCGCATAACATACACCAATTACCCGAACTTAAATAATCATTTTAAAAATTGCATGCATACCATAGGACTATAAGTAAGCGCCTGATAAGGCAGCTTCTGCGAATTCCTCAAAAATTGTATTTTGTAATTAAATTAATTGTATATCTATGTACTGTAAAGCGCTTTAGAGTGGCTTATGTTAGCTAGATAGGGCGCTTTATCAAATGTTGTATATTACTATTATTATTATTACAAGCCCCTGAGAGCTTATGTTAACAATGACATATATTCAACGTGAAATAATGATTCCATGCTTTTATCCGATAATTTTATGATAAAAAAACAACACACACAAGCTTTTAATCACGAACTTTTCCTAGAATGCGCCTATATATAATCTTCGGCACGATGAAGGACACAAGTAAAGGTATACTGTTGATGCCGACATGTACAAATGTATGTAAACTGTAAAACGAAAGTAGGTCTGCGCGATCGCAAACATTTAATGCTGATATTTTCGCATAAATGTCAGTTAGTACTTGATGTGATAGCAATGGATTAAACGAGTATTACTTTGTGTTGTATTCTAGCACATCAGTGTCTTAATACAGACGGTATTAATCTGTTAATGGTCGATAAACGTCTGTTTATTATTACTGTCCTTATTATGTTGTGAGGTATTTCCGGGTCACGTTCCCGTATCAAGTGCGTTTCCGGTTACGTCATAAAATGCAATTTTTCAATTCACAAAATCTTGATATTTATTAATTAAAGATAGTTTAACGAGTTAATAAAAACAATATAAATACATTGTAAATATTATGTTCTTGAATGTTTGCGAAGCAGACGACGTTTGATCAAAATCTCGAAACTAGAACATTTAAAAAAAAAATGTGTTTTAACATTTGAAAGAAAAAAGTTTGAAGGGGAAAAAATCAATTTGTTCTTTTTATTAATCTATGAAAGTGATACAAAAAAGAAATATAGTAAATAATTGATAGTCAATTTATCAAAAACCTCATCCTTAGAGAGTATATTTTGGGCATGATCGTTTAGAAGTTTTTGCAATACTTCAAACTCTTTCAAGCGCGCATCAGCTCGAGATTAGTCTCCTATATGTTTACTTTCTGAGGGGAATGTATCGTTATAATAACGCGTGAAACTGATAGCGTTTGAAGTGAGTGATCTTGCGACGGAGCACAGGTTCGTTACAAATGTCTGAAATGTTTATGTGTGCTGTGACTCATATTAGTAGGTCTGTAATATATGTGTCAGTAGGTCTATAGAATATGTGTATTTCAGACATTTGTAACGAACCACTGTTGATCAGTGCAGTGTAACAGACGATATTTCTGATAAATTGCATGAGCGTTAAAATTGTTTCCATTGCCGGCATTGTTGATTTCAACCGATGTGCATTTTGTACGATATTTCAGACCTTCGTCTTGTTTTCGTTGTAATAAAAAAATGAAAATAAAAAAAAAAAATGCACATAACAATGACATTGTCAAATCTCACAATGCACAGCGATATTTCAGCAGTCGTCATGTTTATTCATATTATTCTGGTCAGTGATGTATTAATACGCTAAGAATTGTGTTTCGTGATGCATGGTAATTAAAGTCCCATCAACGACACAGCTTTCAAAGAGGCTATATCGTGACAATGCCATGCAAGTGTAAATATACATATATATATTTATATATGCATACGTGTCACAACACCTAAGTCTTTCTTTAAAAAGGGAAACAACTGATAAGCTCAAAACCAAATCAGGAGAACTAAACATTTGAGCGTAACTGTAGTACTTGTGCTAGTTGTATGTGGTATCTCAAACAACAATCAACTTATCGATGTTTATTGTTTATCAAAATGTGTTTGAACAGCAAAAAAAACATTGTATCAAGAACATTACAAAAAAACACTGTTTATCATTGACATATTCCTTTCCTATATTACAATTACTTAAAATAGTTGATTTAATAACTAAAATGTATAGTTATATAGTAAGATATCATCCCTAATATAATAATAGGACTCTTAAACATATTTTGCTCTCGGGATTTTATTTATAATCAATGTAAAATATATTCAAATATCACAGTTATGCTACGGAAGGTACACATGATTTTTCATGAAAACATCATTAATAACGTGTATGTAACACATTTAAAATCGCAGCTCAACATACTGCTGGATAAACATATATGTTTCAATGCATGCGGACTTCTTGAATGGGCGTTCATGATGGTATTATTAGTATCCAGTTATTTAATTACAAGTGCTATTTTTGTAACTAGCCACGTAGCAATATCGGATACAATTTTGATCCGATTGTGAAAGAATTCACGCTAATTATGTCATTTTTTTATAACATAACATCTAAAAGTCTAAAAATTCAATCAGATGTCATCCGTCATTGTGCTCAACATGTGATGTCGTTTCAGGATGGCAATCTTGTTTTGGATAGGGCTCCAATCACGATTACAGAAACAGTTTGGTGAAGATTCCACACAACAGCATCAGGGGAGAAACTCCAAGCCTTATGGATCCATTTTTGCCTGTTAAAAATATATGAGTTTTCCGTTTTGTGTTAATGTTTATTTATTTCTAATGATATTTGGTCGTCTCGGTGAAGAGCAAACAATTCGTGTGAAAAATCATTATTCATAAAACATAGATAAATTACAGTTTTACCTGCTGTTCCTGCAGCTGTTGTTATTGTTCCTGTCGAATCACCTGTGGATGTTAATTGTTCAATTGGATGATTTTTTTATTTTGTTTTTTTGAATAAAAAAAAATATATATTTGATATTTTGATTAAAAACCTGTCCATCTATTATAATGTGTGTGTAATGTTTCCGATTGCATGAGGTTACGACAGTTAGCAATCGCTGTTTTTCGTCACCAACATAAGAACAAATCCGTGGTCGCTACCACTGATTGTCGAAGTCAATTGAAAGCCAATTGAAATACCGGATCCGCTTAGATATTTGATAGTCGTTTATGCATATGTGTTGTCATTTTTTAAACGTCAAATAAAACTGTATAAAAAAAAATTCAATAGAATGTCATACAGGTCATGGAATCGAAATTCACCAATCGTACCACTAGTTTCGGTCATGTATCGTTTACATTTATGTTATGTTCGGCAGTTCTGTCGTTGACAAAAAGCACATTAAAAACAGGAGAAACAGTACAATTTTACGCTTTTGAGTTACATTGTAACATTAAGTATATGAGTGTAAAAGCAACAAAAAGTTATGGTACGAAAGTTGAAACATTAACTGTTCTGGAATATTGGTGTAATTTATCCATTTCCTTAATCCCATCATGCTGTCTCAATGGGCAAATATCAGGATTTCATAACAACAAACAGCTATATTTCTCACCGGCGGGTGTTCGGCATTCAGATTTGCATTGTCCGTCTGTTACAGTTGTATTTCCACAGGTATTGTCGGCAGCCTTGCAAGTGGTTAGATCGGCTGTAATGGATTATTAAGGAAAAATGTATTTTCAAGTCGTAAATAGAATTTATAAAACCCAGAAAACTATGTTAACGTTCTATATACTATAATGTACAAGCGATTCACTTTTGAAGAGGTAGGTCTTTATATCCTTCTTGAATTTGACCAGGGTTTTAATTTCTATAGTGTAGCAGATAGTAAACTATTCCACAACGTGGCCGAAACCGTATCAAAGCATCGGTTTCCATAGGTTACATTACGAGATTTGGGGACACGTGCAAATTATTCTAATGCGGAAAAAACTCTCGCTACCCACTGTAAAGTGGGGTTTTCGGCATGACTATAACTTTGATAAGTGATTAATGATAAGAAACATTTACCCTGCGGGACTTCCATGATAAAATTACTTAGGAAATTAGGCAATATAAAAGCCAACAATATTTTGGGTTAAAATATAAACCAAGCTAGACCATGTTTTGAACCTGATCTTCTGATTGATATAATATCATTATAACTAACTAGGCAACATTATATATAGTATCCAAAACGGAACCGCATATTGCAGTGGGTAAGAAATCTTTAAAAACTAAACCAACTATATAGATATTCATTAAAATGACTGAAAACAGTTTACCGTAGTTAGGAACAGTTTTCAATTCATCCAGGATGTTAGGTTAAAAAAATACGTACCTCCAACAACCACAGCTGTTGTTTCTAAGAAAATAATTTAATGGTGTTAATATTCCAGTTTTATAGTAAACGGTAAAACAATTATTATGTTAAACTAACACATTTAACCTTTAAATGTATGTAATACGGTTCATGTTGCTACAAACATATAAAAACTGACATAATCGATGAAACGCTTATTCAAATGAATAATCAAAAGTGTGAATTTTCAGAAAGTATACAGCACTTTATGTGTGACATTATTGTTATCAAAATATCCATATTCAAACATAGTGTGGTTAGCATCAAAAAATTTCGAAATTCAGAGAAACTTACTTTTACATGTCCAGTGGCATGTTTTGGGTGCTGAACAGGATGGGGAACATGTGAGTTTAACTGAAACATGTATAAACCATAAACTTGTTAATTACAGTATGGTTAGGTAAGCAGATGAAATGAGACAATAATTTCACATTCTGTAACATTTCGACAAGAACATTTCATCGTTGATTTTTTCTCTGCATTATCTTAAAAATTGAAGAAAGATGTTACATATATATATACACTTTTTTCTATTGTTTAGTCACATTTAAATCAGGATGGATATACAAATGTTTAAACATACTCTCATATCATGCCAAATAGAATGTATTACTAAGTTGTATGTTAAACAGATTTCATTTACTATTACACTACCATATTTTAACTGTAACCCTTTTCTGTTTATTTCACCATATTTAATAATGTGTTGTTATATAGCACATTCTTTACACTTATTAAACAACACTACTATATATTTACATTGCATTGTCACTAGATAACCTATCACAAAGCTGTGTCGTTGATTGTACTTTAAATGACGTGCAACACGAGACACAATTATAAGCCTATCAGAACGCGACAATACGCTGTTCCAGGTATTGCACAAACTTGTGCAGACTGTCGATAAGGCGGGAATTTTAAAAGAAAATCTATATCGTAAGTTAAAGAAAACGTGAAAGGCGGAGAAGACGCATAATAAGCATCGAAGTGTATGGCGTTGATGATCTATTTGAATAGCGCGTATTATGGTGTTTGCTTGCAGAGGTGTGTCATTCAAATACATCTTAAATGCCATACAAACATCAGTTAAATGATTATTTGGCGTTATTACATAGAAGTATGACTAAAATAAGTTTCGGCTACAACAAATCATAACTTATTTATTCCGTGTCAACCGTACCAACATGAATTCTAGTTTCTACAAACATCGGATATGGTAGTCAAAATAATAATTTGAAATGCGACGTAAGGAAACAACAATACAAGCAAGTATTGTTCGTTTAGGACTGATTTAAGTTCAAGTTTGAAAATCTATATATACAAAATGTATTTAAATATCTTTGATAATATCATTCATCCCTGTTCAGTAACTATAACATCGATATAAACGATTTACATACCAGTGTTCTGGAGGAAAACATTGTTTTTTTTTTTTTTTATATGTATTACCTTTTTGTGTACGTTTGGTGCTACTGATTTAATGTTTGGTAGTAGAGCTGCGGACATGATTAACTTATTTTAAACATTATCGTTCCAGTCAGTCAGAAACACTTTCTTTAAAATAATGTGTTTGTAATGTTGTGATTTATTTTGCATTAAGAATATTATTCCCTGTTTTTAAAACAGTCTACATCTTTTTCTTTAGATTATTTGGTATCCATTTCACCACTATTAAATTATGTTGACTTATAATCTATCCATTGGTTCAAAACTACGGCCGTATCAAAGATATTCCATAACATTCCACTTGTGTATAAAGCATGTTTACACTGTACTAACACCTAGCCGAAATCTAGATTATTTTCCCATTATTTAATTTGTGATCTCACAACCTTATGTAAACACAGCCTTCCAACTTCATATTTCATATCTTTCTTTAGTTTTAAAGTTTTCGAAACTGTTTGCAAAAAATCTAGGTACTGTGATAAACAGAATCTTATTTTCGTAAGGTGCCAAATGGAAGCAAGCACTCATTCTTAAACCCCATTTATAAATTTCGTAACAATATGGTGCATGTAATTCATGTTAAATCCTCTAAACATATTTGTGACATTGTATTTTAAGAGATTCTTTTGGCAGGTCAAAAGTTGTTGTTAAACTAACGACATTGTGGGCAAGTTGTAACTTTTTATTGTTCTGTTCATGACAGATTTATAATGTGTGTGATTTTTCTTTGTAGACAGTGCAATTTGTAAAGTATGTTTATTTCAATGTTGAAACCTGACGAAATCACTGTTTCACAATATGTTACAATTACTTGGCAATGTCTACTCACTTGTTCTATTTGGTAATAATTAAGGACAAAACGGTGCTCACCAGTGGGTGTTTGACATTCATGTTTACATTGTCCGTCTGTTACTGTTGCATTTCCACAGGTACCGTCGACAGCCGTACAAGCGGCTACATTGGCTGAAAGAGATCATCAAGAACAAATATAATTTTAAAGTCGTAAATAGAATTTACAAAACTCAGAAAAATATAATGATGTCATTTGAACTATACTTTACAAGCACTTCATGATGGGTTCTTTCGTGGAAGGTTGTTTGTTTTATCCATATAGATATGTCGCCTATTATAAGTATAAAACTTATTTTGTAAGACAATTATGGTGGTTGATTTGCATTGAGTTAATTTCGGACATTGTTTTTTTTTTATATTCCTTCCTTTTTTTCATTATCCTTTATAATGATATCATATCCCAACTATTCAAATGAACACGACATTTGTCCATTTCAATATTGGCAAGTTGATGCTATAAAAAATATCTGTATCTCAAATATATTTTTGGATTCAATATTTCGTGAAACATGCTTGAGCATCTCCGTACCAATGCAAAACTTATTGTAACTACTCATTCGAATGTGCATTTTTCAGCATGACTATAGCTTTGATAAGTGATTACTGAAAAAAAAAAACATTCGTTGTGAGACGTTTATGAAAAAGTAACTGAGATAAAATAAGCAAAATGTAAATATCAAAAGTGTTCTGGGAGTAAAATTCAGCAAGGCTAGACTAGGTTTCGACCCTGGACTTGTGATTGCTATATTATCACTCTAACCGACTGGGCTACATGTACCTGGTCTAGGGTATCGAAAACAAAACTATATATTGCAGTGTGCCAGTGATCCTTAAAACTAAATCAACATGATATATATTCATTCAAACGACTAAAAGCATCTTACAATAGTGTATTACAATTTCAAAATCATCCAGGTTGTTATGTTAAATAATGTAGATGCAGATATACTTACCTCCAACAACCAAAGCCGTGGTTTCTGAGGAAATAATTAATGATGTAAGTATTCCAGTTTCATAGTAAATGTAAAATAATTACAACGTTGAAATAGCTACACTAAGTCTTTAAATTACTGTAACACGGTTAATTTTGCTACAAGAAAATCAAAATAGAAATAATTGATTAAAAGCTTATTCAGTTCAATGTACAACAATCGTATCGATTGCAATTCCAAAGGTGTGTTTTCAGAAATAGTACAGCATTGTAATGTGTTACATCAGAATATATAAATTTAAAAGAATTGTGGTAATCATTATAAAACTCAGAAAAAACTTACTTTTACATGTCCACTGGCATGTTTTGGGTGCTGTACAGGTTGATGGAGAGCAATCAAGTCCAGCTGAAACATATATTAACAAAGGTATGACTGTCTTTCTTGAATCAAAAGCCTGATATGTAGAGCATGGTCATGTAAACAGATGAAATAAAACAATAACCTCACGTTGTGTATCAATTGAATAATAACAATTATTTGAGAATTTGTTTCTTCTCTGAAATATCTTTAAAATTAAAAACAAAGGTAACCTTCTTATACAATTGTTTTGTACTTTGTAGTAAAGATTCAAACAAGGATGGATATACCAAAAGATTAAACACATATTAAGCAAAATTGAAAGCAGTTATACCAATTGAAATGTTGCCCAAATTAAGTTTAAAAGTACATCTTTAAATATCCCTTTTTAACGTTACAAGCTAACAAACTATTGCCGTTACCAGATAATATATTCTACAACTTGTTTTTCATTTTCATTTTGCTAAAATGAATTCCGTCTACACAATTTTGACAAACCAAGGTACTGGCAATTTAAACAGTGTCAATCAATCTGACATAACAGCATGTTATTTTCAGAATGTGTTTTGAGAGATATGTTATTGCTTTGTTTTGGAATTTTCCTAAACATCTGAGTTTTAAGAGTGAATATGCATACGAAAATGCATACCATATGACGCTACTTATATTCTATTAAGAGTATTACGATATCAGGTGGTTTGCGTAGTTTATGTGTTATTTTGCGATACAACTTGTATATTGATCTTATAGATGCTCTCGGTAAAATTAGTATACCTGTACCTATGTTACGGTATATATACATGTAATATCATAGAAATAGCTATTTCCCTGAAATCCCCAAATTAAGAAATTAGCTGACAAAAAGGGTGCGTTAGTTGGGAGAACTAAGATCCAGTGAATTAGTTCAGAGGATGGGCGTGTCTTGATCGCTTTATCGACCAATCTGCGCCAAGGAAGGCGGGGCTCGAAATTTAGACAGCGACCTTCACCTCGCGTGCGGTTTGACAGACGACAACAACAGCATTGATCAACATGGCCGATTGGTTTGCCCAACTGTGCGAAACAGAGTTAGAGACAGCAACAACACCAAAACAATTGTTAAGGCTTCGCCGTCGGTGTTAAGCGTTTAGCAGTTACCTGTTTAAGAGAGAAATAGATCTGGAAGACCTTGAGGCGCCGGCGTTCTCCGGCGATTTTATTCCGAAATAAAACAAAATGGAGAACGGAATACCCTATGCCAAAACGTAGATAGTAACTATGACGTGTGTGCTCCAAAAAGACTCTCTGAAAACTACAAAGAATGATATGACAAGAAGTACCATCTGATAAAGAGACTAAACAAGGACGAATGTATGACAGACAAGGTTATGTGTGATTATGTTTTATATTTACCAGGTCGATTTCATGTTTTCAAATTCAAAAAATCAGTGCAAAATTTAAAGTAGATCTATATTTACAAAAGGAGGAATAGTTCATGTTATACATGACTCAAAGGCCCCTGTGAGGTGACAAGATCTGATGAAATACCCGCTCCCCCCCCCCCCTCATTTTTTTGTTATTGACATGTGTTGATTTTTTCCCAAATTCATAAAGCACCTGTGAAACGGGTACATTTTAGGAAAATAAACAAAATACGAATACAGCTTCATTTAACAGATGCTTAATTAGTTTATTCTATTTTGTTGCAGCTAATCCGAGATATCCAGTAGCATCCTTAAAGAAATATCGGGAGAAGCAACATTCGGACAACCCAAATTTCTGACAAAGACCGAGGAAAAGGTTTAGTGAAATGGATGAAACATGGTGTGAAAACAATATATCTCGTTTCTGCTGCATATTTAAGACATAACATTTCACAGTTCTGGTTATTGTATACGGATTCTCAAATGTGCCCGAATTTCTTCTACAAAGGTTTATTACTTTTAAAAGGTAAAACCTCCGACCGTAACCTTTTAACCATAAACCTTGACCGATCGCAATCAACGTCTTATCAGTTTTAAAACGAACTGGAAATTAGCATATCATTGTGAAAATATGAACTAAATGTGTTCAGAATATACACAAGTACTTAACTACGGACGGTCAGGCACTCACATGCACGTACCTCCAAAGCGATCCATATAGCCCAACTTCATTAAGCAGGGGTGGGGGGGTTGAATTTATATGATAAATCAGTATACGTGTTTCATTTAAATAACAGAAGTTACAGACACTGTCCAGGATGGTCAAATGTGGTAAATATTATGTGTTTATCCTCGTATACATTGTAAATCGCGATGGATTTTGCCACTTTCGCTGTATTATTATAAACTTTTTTTCTAAATATGTTTTATGAACTATGCAGCAAAACTCAGTTGATAGCAATCTTCTAAAAACACAAAAACATATGAAAAAACATGCATAAGTTAAAAATTGACAATATTTATATTTAAGTTACAGTGAATATATCGGCCTGTGACGTCCGAAGCATCCTACATTTAATAAGGTTTCAATTTTCGAAAGTAGCAATGATAAAGTGATGTTAAACATTTGACTCGATCAAAAAGCTGTAATCTTGAATAGCAGTAATAGTAATGTATTAAAAGAAATCGATAGGCTTGCATTCTAGCTACATACTATTTGGATTGTATGGCACTAGTGCAAAAGGTTTTATAAGCTGTGTGAAGGATTTAACATATTTCACCCTTGTGACCTTGATAATTGGTAGCAATTAATCCATCTTCCTACTGCTAAAAAAGTATTCTAGGCTTTATGGTTGATGTTAAGACGTTGCTTGGGACTTTTAAAATGTTTGACCCCCTCTTGCATTAAACAAAGGCCAATTATATGTATTTGAACAACACGAAATGAATAATTTGGTTTGGATAATGCACTGGTCATAAGAAATGTGCAAACAACAACCCGATGGATTCTTTTTCTTTTTAGAAGTCGAGCAAGGTGAATTGTTTAACGTGCGTTTGAAATCATTATAAGTTGATTGAAACAAAATTGAACGGAACAATCACCCTAGTAGATATTCTGGTATTGCATACAGACCCGTACACGTTCGCTGTTCCACTTTCAGCGTACCTTTTGCGTAGCATTTCTGTACCGTTTGCGTAGCACTTGCGTATCACTTGCGTAGCATTTCCGTAGTACTTGCGTACCATTACCGTAGCATTTCCGTAGCACTTCCATATCGTTTCCGTAGCACTTGCGTCTACACCTTTCCATTAAAAAAGCGTTTGTGAAACGTTCGGTCGAAAATTTTACGGAATATATATTTGTCGAAACGAATTGTAAAAAAAACCCATTATAAACCGTATTACGTGAAATTATTCCAACCATTATAATAGTCTGAAGGAAAACCCCAACAAAAATGACGGTTTACACATACATTGACGTAACAGCCCTCCTCCCATGGGCCTACTGTGTGTTCTCCACACCAGCATCTAGGCCTTAGGGGTAATTTGAATAACAGGCATACAGCTGGCCATTTGGTAATGACCTGTCCCTTGTTTAAGGTATAAACAATTTTTGTGTCCGTTATAAAGGTTGTTAGGGCAACATGACCACCCGCTGACAGATACATTTCTTTCAATATGGTATCTATATACCTGAGAATCTAGGCAGTGATAATGCATTTACCATTCACCTGTGGTCACATTGGATTATGATGTGCTGTACCTGATCAATGTCACATTCTGTGATTTCAAGTCAATTAAGTCCATGTCAATTAATCAAGTTCATTGTCTATCCATCACGTACAGCTGTTTACAGGTAAATCAGTCCAAGGTAAAAACCTACAGGTAAGATACTTTGGCTGTCCCTCGATCAGGAAATGACTGCCCTAGGCACAATTTCATTTCACAACAGTGCCTTGACCAAGGTAAACTAATATTTGGAACTTGGAACTCCTAATTTAATATATAAAAAAACACCCTTATTAGGATATTTAACTTCTCACGTAGACGATTTGTTTTAAACTAATCTATTTTTTTTTTAAATATTTTATCATGAGTTCTGTTATCAGCGAGCAAGGTTGAATACTAACCCTAATACGTAACAAACTTTTCATATCAGATTATTGAAAATGATGATATTTTTCAGTAAAAAAAATCATTATGAAGATAACTTTATTGTCATCATGTGACTGAGTTCCTGAGAAAATAGAGTGTGATTCTTTGTTGTCTATAGCAGAGACGTATATATTACAATACGTCTCTGTCTATAGTAAGTTTGTTAGCGGAGTGCCCTCTCTGTGTGTGGTAATTATAAACGTGTCAAAAATCAGTCAAGCGGTTCCAGGCTAGTGTACCTATGAACTTACATGGTTCAATGAAAAATATAATTGACCTTTAAACAGCTGACCAATTAGTACACCTTAGCGCCTTTAGCAAGTTACACAGTGGACAGTATACATCAGAGGCTGGGATTAACCTGGCCTAGGGTCTATTTGGAAATATTATATTAACGACAACAAGATTTATTAATTAATTAAAGAAAGGTTTATTGATATTTTTATAGAAGAATGTGCAGAAAAAAATAGAATAGTCTGAAAAGCAAATTTTTATAGATATATTTACGATCATTTTGATCTACAAAACTACCTGCGTAAACCCATACAAAAAGAATATCTGAAAGAAATAAAAAAAAAATCTCCTTATAGCTTAAAATTAGAAAAAGGGCTTTATCAAAACATTGAATCGTCGAATGTGTACTGTTTGTAATTTAGATGATGTTGAAGATAATGTCATTCCGATTTGCGAGCAATTGTTTTGAAAACTTATTATATTAAAAAGCAAAGCATATTTAAATTGAAAGGATTATTTAGTGTGAAAAATTCAAAAGAAATAACGAACTTAGGGAAATATATAAAATTTGCAAATTCGAGAGGAACCTAATTATTATAAATAGGTATAGTTGCACTTGTAATTGTGTGTAATGTTGTGTAATATTATTTTGTATTTTGCACAGTTAATATCACAAAATTTGTTACTTTGTAACTGGTGAACTTGAACTTGAACCAGGCGATGAGGATACGTACATGCATGACAAAATATGAAATATTGTAGCACTTACACTTACGTGTATTGAGCACAGACAAACAAAATATTATGTAGTTTTGCCACTCATCTATTGTGGTGTTGTCTATAAAAAGTCTGACAAGGGTCAGAGACGTATACTTTAAAGCAAACATTTTCACTTGATTTGGTGTGCGGTATTATTCCCATCATAAAAAATTACTTAATTATGGAGACAAGTTAACTTGAAATTACAGGAAAATGTCATCATATTCCCTCAACGTCATAACGTTTTCATGTGGAACTAGAGACAAGAGATTGGAGCATCCTCACATAGATATGCATGTATTCCCCCCCCCCCCACCACCACCCCATCCAAGTGAAAAATGTTATAAATGAGTGATAAATGTATATATTAAATAAACGACCCCAACCCCCCTACCCACACCCTTTTACTTTGCTCTACTTTACCATGACTAATTGCCCCTAGAACCCTGATCAGGAAGCTATCGCCCTAAGCCCACACCCTCCTTGATCCACGCCTGTTTAGGTACAAACGAAGAAATACATATTGTAGTTATATTGAAGTTTGACATGGTCTCAGTCCCTAAGTTATCTGACATCAGACCCCTATACCTTCTGTAGTACACACCCCTCAGGGTGTGCCAGACAGTCATAGTTTCTCCTGTACCAGGATTCAGATAGGTAAGTTTTACCTGTAGAAATGTCAGAATAGATACCTACATTTTTATGATCGACAAAGAAAACCTATATTATTATTAATACTAGAGGTACATATCATGAATGTAAAAATTACATATATTTAGTACATATTATTTTTCTTATTCATTATAGTTTCCTACATGCACGAGCTTGCCTTTCAAACTGAAAAAATATATATAATAACTCCCGTAACAACATACACGTACAATGTATACTTAAACAAGAATCAACTACATTTTCATAACGAAATAAAAGATATTTAACAAAAAAAAACTGTTTATCTGTGAATGAAATTTAATTAATAGACAAGGTATAACATGTATACATTTCAAATCTCCGATGCATGTATTTGCATGTACTAATAAGTAAGCACATTATCGGTCTCCAAATCCTACGGAAAATCTAAAAGTGTATGGAAGTATTAAAGACGATATAACAAATAGAAATAGAGGTACTGGATCCTTAACACAGGAGTCTGAAATTATATCATTTTAAATTATTATTAATTATTACGTTTCTCGTTTAAAAAACGTAACAAGTTTACTTACTGTCAATATTAATTAGTATTTTATTCGGTAAGCAGGTGGAAATACTTCTGACCATAACTTATTATTATCTGTGTGTCGCGTTGATCTGTTAGCGTACGTCAGGTCTTTGTGATGGATATATATTACATGTACCAATATTTGATCGACCTTTATCCTCGTAACCTAGCTACAGTGTACTGACGTTTCTTCCTATGCATTGTGGGTATGTTCGTTTCGTTTTAGATATTTTATATGCTTCCGCTTTTTATGTAAACCTGTTCTTGTCACCACAAACGAATCACCGTTTGTAAGCGTCATCCGTATCACTTCCGTACCGTTTGCGTAACACTTCCGTACCGTTTGCGTAGCACTTGCGTACCATTTCCGTACCGTTTGCGTAGCATTTCCGTACCGTTTGGGTAGCACCTCCGTACCGTTTGCATCCAAGGTGGAACAGCGAACGTGTACGGGTCTGCACTTTAAGCCCATTGTCCCACCAAAATCGGGTGTCATATGAGGATAGTTATGAATTTAATTGAGCAAGGGATGGTCATATAATTTGCCAATACGTACGGCAAACTGCACAACACAGTACTGCAGATATACCGCATTATCTGACAAGCGGAAAATGGACATACATCTGTTAGCAGACTGTCCAATTGTAAAGACTTTGGTATGTTGCGAACTTCGACCTTCAAAGTATTAAGTTTTATTAATAACCGGTAAGTTTAGCCTTACTTGCCTAGATCGCACTATTTTGGGTTTTTCATATTTGCCCATTAAAGAAAAACGGTGTCATCCCAGTTGTAGTTAGAACTTAAAACAAACAAAAGAAAGAGAGAATGTGAACTCAATAACAGATATTTAGGTAAATTATACCATAGAAAACACAAGGAGAACGTGAACCAGACTCTGAATAAGTTCTGCTTTCTCAAAAACAGGCAGTTCTGCTTTCGCTTTGAGAATTAAGGTTTAAAGATTTTGTTTTCTTGTCTTGAAATTTCGGAATTCCGTCTAATCTTCTAGAAAACTAGTAGGGTGTTTTGTCATTACCAAAAATGCTTTAACTATTGGATTCCACGATGTTTTAAAGAGTGGACGCCTTTCTTAAGCATTTTCAACAGTGTTGAAACCCCTCTGTTCCCCTGCAAAACAACTACATCGATTGACGAAAATACTGTACCTTTTCCTTATTGACGTTAGATAGAATCAGAGTTGTAATCCAATAGGTGCATGTTTAGACACATGCACAGACAATACAGTACAGAAACTTTATGTTTTTTACTAAGATAACTTCAAAGCATTGAACAGAGAGAGAAATATGTTCAAGTGGCAGAGAAAGGAAGCTATTTGGACACGCCACAGAGGGTCAGGTCTGAATTGAGATGAGAGGGCTTGCGATAGAGAATTAAACAAATAGCAGTCTAATCGATTTGTTGGTTTGAATTGTATCTTTTGTACATTCAGTTTGCACACGCAAAGCAAAATCAACTGTGATTTTATTGCTAACTCGTACATATTTGCACATTTTTGTACATACGCTTGAATGGGCATTTATTTGTTGAAGGTGATAGTGTACACACCTTTCTAATGATCAAAATGTCACATAAACCATGGACTGAAGAAAATCCTGTGTAACTCATGGAACCATTTTCCATGACTAAATCACTGAACATGTAAACCTGACGTATCTCCATGGGGATCACATTCTAAATCTATACAAAATCTGATGTTATCCAAGTTATATTGAAAACAAATGTGTAGTACCCTTTTTATATCCCATTATTCATCTTTTCAAATTTTCTATGCAGGAAAGATGGATTCAAAAAGATTTTTTTTAATGTAAAAATCTGATGGCAACCGAATTTCATCATACTTCTCCTGGCACTTTAACGAAAAATGAAGAAACTAAAACGAGGTAATTTTTGGACAAATGATGAGTAAACAAGCATGTATAAAATATACATTGCAAGAAAATGACATCATACATTTGTCAATTGATACATACCATCGGAAATGCAATAAGAAATGGCATTTCAAAGCAGAAGCAGTTTTTTGTTTTGTTTTGTATTGCATGAATGGCACACGGGATCCTGAGTGTCCTGAAAATCAATCCTGGGGGCGCTGTAGTCACAAATTTGTTCTTTTTGAGGAACAAAAAAAGATTTGATGTGTATTTCATGCAAATTTAATAAGTGATGCTAAAAATGCTTAAATAGTTCGAAGGCCGCCAAGCAACACCTCCTTTGTGTAAAGCGACATAATTGTAATCTCTATTTGAAGTTTAAGATCATAAAGAAAAAGATTACTCACCGCATTGAACAACTGTCAATGTCAAGACGGAGACAAGGCAAGTCAGATACATGTTGGCCTGAAACAGAATTAGGTGATTAATCAAATTCCGATATTTTATCAAATGACATTTTATAACATTTTGAAAGAAATAACATTATTCATCAATAAGTTGCTATGAAAGAAAGAAGGAGAAAATACAAAAGTTGAAAAACATCAATGCATGTATTGATGATTTTGTATATTGACATTAATATTATTGTACATATCTTCCTTTTAATCTGTTACATTTAGATTAAATCAGGTTTTCTTGCAAATATCTGATCAACAAAAATGTATCTTACTGAATTCATTTCAATGCAACAAATGTATCATGCTGGTGTTGTTTATTTTTTGCAACATGCACTTGATGTTATCAATGAATAGAACTTCAAAAAGCCGAACAAGTGTTTTACTCTAATAACGTTTATACTACCCATTATATATATATATATATATATTACTGTAACATTGCTCATTATACACGTATAATGAATATGAACCAATTTTCTTCAAAATAAACAGAATATACTGGAGGAATATCTACATACTTTATTATCAGTGTAAACAAATATATATGAATTTATAATATCATAGTTTTTAGGTTTATAGTGTGTTTTATGACATAATGTTATGCATTCAATCCAACAAGATTACTTTGTTTTATCATAATTTGTGAAACAATAATTATATCGGCAAATTAAATTATGATTAGAACGATTTAAATTTTGTGGCAGGAGTGGACGACATCATAATGCTACAAAACAAAATGGTTCATTAGTCAAGTTAAATGTTTAAATTACAATATGAAATGATGCTGATACATACCATGTTTGGTGTTCTGTTCCGCACTTGTAAGTGTGGGATGGTGCTGACAGCACTGGCTTATATATCCAGCGTAACGTGATTGTTGATAAATTACCAAAGCAACGCGATGAACACCTCACATACTACTGTGACGGCAAATTAAATGTTGGCAAGACTATGGTGTCAATCGTCAATGTTGCATGGATACCAAACACTTAACCACACCCACTTTACGCCCGGGATAGCCAATCAAGATACTGATATACCACGTTAATAATGAAATAAGAATAGCGTTCATTTGAGGATACCTGTTCGATGCAGGCAAAACCTAGAGAATACCGTTGTAGATTTTGCATGGATATAGTACATGGAGCAACCACTTAATTTCGTTTTTATTCATCGCTTATCGGGTTGATACATTGTAAGGTTAGTTAGAGAGCAATGTTGTCAACGGTATGATTGAAGGTCCAGGGTATTCACATTCAACACTGGCCCCTTTCCATTTTTTTCGAAACAAATTTGTTGATATTTTGTCTGCTATTTCTCGTCTTTATTTACTTATTGTTTTAATAAACGTTTGGTAAGGTGTACATTTATTTTGAGAACTTATTTTATTAAAGCTATTGCAATGACAGTTGAATGCTTGAAATTTTAAAAGTACATTTTTGGCACTAGTATGCAATTTTTAAGAGGAGGACTTTTAGTGCATTCCTAGGACAAAGACCTTTTGGACATCGCACATGCAACTTCCTCGCTCTCCAGGCCCGATTATTATTATTAATTTTCATGAATATCTCTACATTATCGTATATATCGTATCTTTGTAATAATCTCGTAAACACATGAATGAAATCGATGTCGAGTGAAATTAAAAACCCGTTGATAAAAACGTATAACTAGGTCATACAAAACTATCAACTGGATCATGACAGATCTTGTAAAATGAAGGTACGTTGATATTTTGAATATTTGAATATATACGTTGATAACTTATGTCCTGTGAAGCATGCCTTCAATGAATTGTACCTTCTGATATACTCAGCCAAAAAAGTTAATTGTCATATTTAAAGATTGAAGTAAATGCACTAAAATTTTGCCGGGATTAATTGTCCGCTATCCGTTTTAAAAATTACTGCATTCACCATAATGTGCACGAGCAACATTGTATCGTGGGGACGACAACCATTCAGCGCACCCGGCTGTGTATACGTACCCGACAATATAGAGTGAAACCTTGATACGATGATCTTCAGAAACCATTGTTAAATTCGTGATTGTTGTATTACAGAACACAATTGATTTGGTGGCGGTTCATTAATGGTGTGGGGAGGAATATCTATTGACGGTAAAACATACCTGTACGTCATTAGAAATGGAACGTTGACTGGTCAGTGATACAGAGACGAGATCCTTCATCCTATTGTTTGTCCATATGCTGGTGCTATTGGCCCCAACTTCGCCCTGATGAATGATAATGCACGTCCCAATCGTGCAAGGATAGTGCAGCAATATCTTAGAACTGAAACAATTCCTGACGACTTGAATCCCATAGAAAACTTCAAAGACAAATTCAAAAGCGAAGTATCCTTCGTTCAACTTTTGCTTAACTTGAAATTGCACTTCTCGTAGAATGGGCGAATGGGCCACAAATGACCATTCGTTTATTATCCGCAGCTTCAGTAGACGTTGCATAGCTGTGATAAAGGCCAGAGGAGCCCATACAGGGTACTGACATGAAATTTGTGTCTTTTGAATGCTTTTGAGTTTTCGAAGCACATGTGATTCACTTTAAAGGACATATTGTTATTGGCTATTTATTGTTATATTGTTATTCCGTTGCATATTGAATTTAGTGCAATATCGAACATAGAAATAGGTCAAATATGTATTGATACCAATGAAATAACAAATTAATAAACTTCTGACAGTTTCAGTAAATTTTGCTTTTTTGTGAAACATAAAACCCTCAACTTATTTTGCTTAGAATTTTTTCGGGTCCGCCTTTTTTCTTCAATTTCGGCAAAATGTCCCTATTTAGCCCTTTGTTAGCAAATTTTGATCGGTTGCAGTTGTAAGATTATCCATTTCAGTGGAATTGAATTAAAATTTACCCTTTTTCTAAAGTCCGATTACACTTTACAGTGAGATTTCGAGCCATGTACGCATACTGTCTTTGTATAACTACATGTATTTATTTTTGCTTATCCGTTGGAAGGACGCAAAACCCTTAACAAACGAACATACAAAGCAATCCAATACATTGATACTGTCTCTGTACTTTCATTTCAGGTGGATAGAATTAAATTAAAACGAAACACCAAATTGTAAAGAAACGCGTTACTCAAAATAGAAATCGATAATTTAAGGCAAAATGTGAACAACCGGAAATGTACATATAGATAGCGTAGAGAATTATTCAGAGAATAAGACCAGATGTATAAGATACTTAACTGTATAAATTATTTTTATTTTTATTTATAATTATAATGAACTACGTAAATGCTGCATCAGTCGAAACTTGATGGCATTCAAAACAACACATCACTTTACTATCATTACCTGGATAATTTAGTATATTGTGAAGATCTTGGAATGTGTCCATCCTCAAATAAATAAGCAACATGCTGCCGATATCTAGAGTGATTAACATCGGAAATCATGCTCTTTCTCCACATTGAGTCGATAACTGATCGTCAGAATGATTGAGGAATGTTCTGCCACTCATCAAGCAGCTGTGTCCGACGCAAGTCATCCCTGTTTTAGAGATCAACGTTGTTTTTCGTCAGCTCGTCTCCTAATGTAATCCCATAGGTCCTCAACAGGTTTTCCATATCGGGGGACAAAGATAGCCCAGAGGCAATACATTAATCTGGTGGCTCTGCAGGAATTCCGTACATACTATGACAGTGCGTGTCCTAACAGTGTCTTACTGCAACGTTACAACAACCAATTCGAGCTAGAACTTCGTAATGATATGTTTTTGTCTTAACTGGTCCGTTAAAGACGTGTAAGTTTGTTCTAGAATTTGAAATGATCACTCCCAACACCCTGACATTACATGCTCCCCCATCTGTCTGTTTGCTGGAGACAACAATGAGCAAAGCGTTTTCCATTTCTTCTATCGACCGTCTGCTCTGCTTAGCTGAAATCTGGACTCTTTCCTATAGCGTACTGATACCATCTAGCATGAACCCACCAGGAATGAATACACGACCACTGCAAAATATCTACGAGTAAGAATTTACCAGACATGAGGTCGACCATCTCGTAGGCGAATTCGGACTGCGTGTGATGAAACATGAATAGCCTTTGGCGTAGAAGCTGCTGGCAAGAATCTGTTTCGAAGATGCGTGATTCATGTGTGTTCGAAAATGAACCAAACGTACATGTAGACTAAGACACCTGGAGGGAGTGGCGGTCCACCTTTGCCCTTTGGGCAAGGTAGCCAGCCCCAGTCTTAGGCAGGTCAGTTTGGCCAGTTATGGGGTCATTCCCAACCTGCGGGACCTTTCCGTTATCCTCCGGGATATGGGTTTAACCCCATGGTCCTTTCGTCATGGAATCCTTGGGGTTTGGTATGTCCCTCACGGAAACGTGTTAGCAGTTTTGTTGAATACTATTGTGTCTCCAGCCCTGGCCACCGTCCAGTCTCGGGTTTTAGAGAAGAATTATTCTTCAACCCGTAGTCCTGGGTTTGCTTGGTTGCAGCTCAGTGTTAGCGATTTGTCACTGACTATGCCACACATGGCCTGCTTGCCCCTCAACCAGCTAAGCTGGAATCAAGAGAACTTGCAGCCTGGCCCAGTAAATCGATGGACCATGTGGTGTTCGGTCCCAAAGAACACCACAAGATGGAGAGACTGCTGCGTCTCTCCATCCAGATTCTGTCTTATATAGACTACCTGACGGTTTGTCTATATAGGGTATCCGACTTGCCTGAGGGTCGGATTACCGAGACAGAGCAGGCCGACATCAAGGACAGAGTGACCTCTGCCGTGAACGGGGCATTGGGAGCGCTGGCAGCTTAACAGGTGTCATCGCTCGTCATTGTCTTGCGGCTAAGCGGTTTTCAGTGTTGAAAAACCGCCCAGTCGATGAGCCTTATCGCTCCCATTTGACTCGGTCGTCTCTACACTTCTGGTGAAGAGGATTCACGCTGAGAAGGCCAGTACCTCGCAGGGGTCAGCGCCTCCTAAGAAGAAGGCTAAACCTTCGGCTTCGCAGTTTCCTGCGCAGCTCAAGTATAAGCCTCCCTTCAAGGAGAACAAATGGAAGGGTAGGACGGGTAAGAACCCTCCTAGGGGTAGGAAGAATGGTTCCTGACTCTCTTCTTCCCTCCTTGGTCGTGTCAGACAACGAGTTTGGCCGGGGGACTGCAGTCCTATCGGTTCAAGCTTAGGTCTTTCTCCCGCAGGATTAGGCTTCGGGTCAGCAGACGGTTCTCTTGCCTGGCAAGGTCTCTATCTGCCTCGACCAGATCTTCCTGTGGTGGGTCGTCTTTCCGCTTTCCTTCCAGAGTAGAAAGGAAATTATGGAAGACGCATGGGCCTTGTCAGTGGTCAAGGAGGGGTTAGGCATTCCTCTAGTGCGGGATCCGCCCATAGCGTCAGAGCCAATCTTTTTTCCTCCACCGGGGGATCCGGAAATGGCTCTGGCGATCCAGGAGGAAGTCGGGGCCATGCTTAACGCGCGGTCGAGAAGGTTCCTATGTCGCTATGCACTCCCGGGTTCTACTCCAGAAGTCCGGGGCGTGGCGCCCCATCATAGATGTAAGTGCTTTCAACAAGCACGTAGATTCTCCTCACTTCAAGATGGAGACTCCTCGGGGTATTATCGCCTCCGTGAGAGAGGGAATGTGGGCGACTGCAGCAGATATGAAGAACGCCTACTTCCACATCCCCATCAAGAGGTCGGCACGGAAGTACCTCCGTTTTACTTGCAACAGAAAGGTCTTACAGTTCCGGGTCATGCCGTTCGAGCTCACGACTGCACCTTTGGTTTTCACCAAGCTGCTGCAGGTGGTCGTGGGATTCCTGCACCCTCGAAGAATAGATGTTCACATCTATTTTGACGATTTCCTCATGCTCCACCTAGTGCGAGAGTGTC